TCCAAAACTGTGAGGCCTGGAGATCTGGGTGGCCACTCTATAAACGGACTACCACGGCCTATCCATCGGTTTGGAAAATGTTCGTTAAGCCATTGCCTCACAGCTCTGGCACAATGAACTGAACACCTATCTAACTGGACAATTAAATTTGATCGTTCATTGATTTGCAGCTCGTGAATAGCATCCCAAAACTCTGTTTTTAAAAATTCTAGAAACCTCTGCGCATTAATGTTTTCCTCAAAAAAGAAAGGACCAATTATTCATACAGTTTATTACCCAGTTAGGATTATCCGCTGCCCAATAGCCACAATTCTGTGATGACACTACTCCATTTGTAGTGAAAATGGCTTCGTCGGTATATAAAATATTTTTTAAGAAATTTCTATGGTTTAAATATTCCCCTTGGGCCCATAAACAATATTCCAGGCGACTTGCTTGGTCGCCTTCTTGAAGTTTGTGTAAAAATTTTGGCTTGAAAGATTTAATATTCTTCGCCTTGAGACATCTCCGAATAGTTTCTCGTGGAATATTCAAGTCCAAGTGACATTCCTTATACTGGCATTAGGATTTTTTCGAAATAATCTAAAATGATTTGATCATTCCTGTCATTTCTGTTTCGTCTTTGTACAAAAAAAAAAATATTAAAATCGGTTTACAACTTCAAATTTTAGGGGGGTGTTTCCATTAAAAAATGGGCCACACTGTAGATATGCATTCAGTTTGAATTTAATTCGTAAATTAATTTGTCATACTCATTAGTAATACAGTAAGGAACTGATATAACACGCATTTGATCCTCCTAATATAATTACAGAATCATGTAATGTGAAATCTTTTGCCAAGTGGGGTATGTTTTCAATAATACTGTTCAGGCAAGAGAACAGTTTGATAATTGACAAAACATTATGATTTTGAAGGTGCCGATTCAACATTTCACCTAACTCATGACCATACTGATCACATAGAAGCAATATTTTAACAGAATCGCTAGGTTTCACTGTAATTTCTTTACTTTTGCATATTGTATTAGTTTGTTTAACTTCATTTTCATGTGTAATTTTCTCTGTTACTTCTTGCCCAAGATAGGCCTGATTAAATTGAAAAACTTTCATTTCATTTTGTAGTTTTCTCACTTCTTTGCTATTAATTGTTTTCGTCTTCTAACATTTTTATAACTTTTAACTTTAATACTGTTCGATTTTTGTTAACTAATTTCTCATATGATCTAATGTTTTCGTGTAATTCAAAAATCTCTTCATTTAATTGAGGTATGGTTTTACCTCGATCCTTCAATTTTTAAGCATCTTTATTCTCCATTTCAAACGCATCATTTTCGAAGTCTCGAGTTCTTTTATTCAGCCGCTTAATAAAATTGTCTTTTTCCTTGATGTCAACATCCTTTATCAACAGTTTGTTGCATTTCATCAATATTTTCATTATATTCAACAGTTCACCTCACTACCAGATTATACACATTCATTCAGCTCACTACCACAAATACAAATATATGAAGCGAATGAAATTGACACAGATAATCGAAAAAAAAAAATTAAAAATTAAGAGACAAAGATGCAGAAGATACAGAACTTTTAACCAATGTAAGTTCCAACAAACAAGCTCATAACCTTTGTGCATCAAATATCACCTTCATAAGATCAGATTTTTGACCTTCAAAAATTACAAAAAATGTTGATGAGATAAATTCACACATCAAGATTTTGATAATGTTACCAATGAATAAAATATATTTTCAAGAGGTTGAAAATTTGAATGAAGTGGATCTACATAAGGTTTATGTTGCTACTTTGATATGACATTGGCAAAAAATTGAAAAGTTCTTAATGACTTCATCCTTTTTTCGAGGAAAACCAATCTAAAACTTTTAGCTCTCCTGATATAAATATCAAAAACACTATATAAATGCCGTAATAATTAACCTCAAAATTATAGAAAAGTTTATAGAAAAATTTTACAAATGACTCCACCTTAATATGAGTTTTCACTAATCAAGTTATCCCGTCTTATAAAGAAGAATATAAGGAGAGTGTGTTAAAACATACTTTTTTCAATGTCAATATGCTTCATAACTTTACTTGGGTGAAGCAGAGTACGATTATATGTGAAGCACTTCAACTTCAAAAGTGAAAACTTTCGAAACAGCAATAAACCTGATCTACCATAATCTAGCAAAACTTTAATGTTCAATGGCTAGTGAACTTTCACTACGGATAAAATGTTTGATCTGTTTCTGATCCACTGAAATGCAGGACCCATATAATCTTATTGTTTACTTATGATGATTTATTAGTGTTCTTAGAAATGAATGTGCGATCTTGTTTTGTTTACACCGTACCATTTCCTTTGATAATACATATTAATGATTTGCCACATATTTTTATCCCAAATATGTATTTTTTTTTCTGATTGATTCGGCCGTTACTTGATGAAGATCCATAGTAATTTCAAAAAACTACACCTCACGATTTGATCTCCAAAAACTTTATTTGAAAAATATATCACATGTTTTGCTAGCACAGTAGCTTTTTCAAGTGATTTATACTTCAAGTTGTTCTTACATTAATATGTATATTCTACAGGTAACCATAATTGAGACTACCTCCAAAAAATTACCTAAACCTCTACCTAAGGTACCTGTTCATTGGGGAATGTTCCTCCTGACGAAAATCAAGTAGTTTTCATAAAAGAGCTCTAAAACAACGCATTTTAAACTATTATTTCAACCTTTTTCTTTAAAAAATTATTTAAATACTTAAAAAAGAGGAATGAAATAATGCATTCAACATTTAAAGGTTTTCGTTTCTATTTCACCATTAGGCAACATCAGTTATAGCTAATAAAGGACAGTGAATCTATTGCCTGTATGAGACAAACAAAGATGAAATAGTTCAGAAGCGTGCTGTTCTGTTTACTTATGTTCCGAGTTCCGAGACATTCTGTGACATATGACATTTTGTGCAGCTAACCTATCTTCCTCTTCCTATGAAATTAAATTGAAATTATTGCAAATACTAAAGATAGGTGACTTGAGATACAAATTGGTTCTGGCCAGTCGGCTGTAAAAAGTTTTTGTACTTCTAGTTCTAAAATGAGGCACACAGAAATTTATAAAAGATAACACCTTCATAGCATCCACATTGTTGTGCAAAGTGTATGTGGCTTGTGGAGGTGGTATTGAACTATAATTTATATTTTGCCTTAATTGTTGATTTATAAAGATAATTTTCCTTTTTTAAAGTAGAATATCTAGGTACGTATAAATTATTTCAACTCGATATAGGCGCTGTTGTCAATATGTAAATTAGAAACAAATCCCTTTGAAAATTAAAACCCAACATTTAAAACATCAATTTGAATACTTTAACTCAACTTTATTTTATTCAAACAAGCATTTGCTGTAATAACCCAAATTGAGGAACATTCTCCATTATGATCACCTGAATCATATTACCTCACATCTACATCAATAATAATTCTTTCTCGGTTTTTAAGAAAACAAGTTCAATAATGGTGATCTATTCAAATCTAATTGGTCATTCATTAGAATGTTTGAATTTTTCATAATACTTTTTATAAAAAGTTTGAATACAGTCTAAGGGTGAATCATAAGGGTTCTAATATTTACATATGAATACAGTAACATTGTATATAGCGAATGGAAGGCAAATGGAAGGAAAAATAAAAAAATAAAAGTGGTTCTAAGCATGAAGAGTACGTTTTTAGACCATGATGAACTGTTTGGGAGGGAGAATAAAGTTGATATCAGACATTAATAGGAAGTTGTTTGTTGTTTTGGTCTTTGTAATAATGGGTAAACATTTATTTGTTGATATGTTTGGTACATCAAAGAACTGAATAAGTCTTGTTGTTCTTTTGGGAATTGTCTCTGAGTTTAGATTTGAGATTGAGGTAGTTATATTTTTTTATATTATGCAAAACATTAACACTATACTTGCTTGTCTTCTATTTTTTATACTGGGTATTTTGAATTCATTTCGTAGTGCTACTGATCTAACTGTATTATAGTCTTGGTATACTTTATATGTTTTGTAATATCTCAGAAATCTGTTTTGATTTTCATCTAATCCATTTTTGTGAACAATATGAGAAGAATGCCAAACTACAGCTCCATATTCAAGTTTAGATATGTGTGTAGCAATCACTTTAATGTCATTGAAATGTGTACTTTGTCATATTACAAATTTCATAGTTTGTAGTGTCTGAGATGCTATGTAATCCAAATGTGGTTTAACGAGAGTGTGAAGTTATGGTACACACCCAAATCTTTGACAGTCTCTACCCTGGATAATTTTATACCATTCATTGAGTAATCATATCGTGGCTTAGTTAATTTTACGATACAAGACTGGGACATTTAAAGCTTATTTTTCACAGTGACACTGATGGACACTATTGATGTCCTTCTGTAATTTGACAGTCTTGTGAGTTTTTGATCTGTCTATAAAATTGTAGGTCATCTGCGAATAACACACACTCAGAATATTTGATATTTTGAGCTAGATAATTGATAAATATAAGGAAAATTGATGGGCCAGGTTTTATCACTGAGGGACTTTATGGTTCGTCATGGTTTGCGAGGTTATTCAAATACGAAGCCAGCAATTTGAGTGCTTGGGTATTAGTGCCACCACCTCAACAAATGTTACACCCACATCACGAAGGTACATGAAAAAACTAGTCAGCCATCTTGAGACATATTGAATAAAATGTCGTCACTTTGCTAGCTTTACTTACCTTTACCATGCATTGTTTTCTAAAGTAAATGTGTATGCAGAAAAGATTTGACCTGAACTAACAAACCTACATACATACATACAAACATTGCAGGTTTAAACAAAGTTAGTGAATCATTCCAATATTTGACAAAGGGGTAATGGGGTTATACTATTTCACTGATGATGTGAATGCTTTTTTACCAATAAATGAGACTATAAATGATCAAGAAAACTGAATTATTTCACCTGGTATTGTCGTTTCTATAATGGGTTCCACTTTATTTTTATGAACTTCTGGCCGGGGTGTAACTCCACTGTTCAAGTCTGGCTTGTCAATACTTATTGCAAACAATATAGAATTCAAACCTGAAAACCATGATATTAGAAAATGAGTTGGAGAACACAATTTTATTCATTACCAGCTGCCATGTTGGGCAGCATACTATTTTTTTCTTCATCTCTCAGGATAGACCAAGACTCGTAGTACTCCTTCAACAGATCTGCATTGCTCAGAAGAATGTGACAATACCTTCAAAACAGAATACAGTAAATATGGAAAAATGGTTGAAGAGGAGAATATTAATAATTTTCTCTTCTATTTCAATAGAATAATAAGGAAATTCTCAAAACCTTCTCAAAGGAATACAAAAATAAAAAAATATATGCAGAACAATTAATCTGCAGCATATACAGGGCTATTCAAATTCGTTTCTGTACATGGGGATCTCGTAAACGATAAGAGATAGAGTGTCGGTTAAATTGTGGCAAAGTTGCGTATTTTAGAGACCTATTCAATGATGTAAAGAAATCGAATATAGCTCTTTTGGTTCTGGAGATATACAGAGTTTTCTACAATGAACTTCGAATAAGAAAACCTTTTATGGTTATTTGAAACATATCTACATCAAAAATATATAATATGTGTTTTAATAAGTAGAAAAAGAAATGATAGCAATAATAACATCCGAAACGAACACTATATAATTATAGTGTTAGTTTCGGATGTTATTATAGCTACCATTATCAATATTTATTACTTAATAACAGAATTACAACAAAAGTAGTAATACTATTATGATAAATTGGAAAATCTTAAGAAGGCATAACATAAAAACAGTGTTGAAACCCACCAGGAAAATACAACAAAGCCTGAGATCTGCGAAAGACAAAAGAGATCCACTATCAGCTGCGGGGGTATATCGTATACCATGCACCTGCGGACAAGTTTATATCGGTACCACAAAAAGATCCATGGGTACAAGGTTGAATGAACATCGGAGAAACTGTAGATTAGGTCAAATAGAAAAATCGCCAGTAGCAGAGCACGCGTTTAGTGAAGGAGATCACACGATACTGTTTGAAAATGTGAAACTATTTGCACCCGATGATGGATACCAGAGTCGGCTTGTACGGGAAGCCATAGAAATCCATAAACATACGAAAAACTAAAACAGAAAAGAGGAGGTGATAATACTTAACGGATTTGAAATCCCATACTAAAAGATGCTAAGGTAGCAACAGTGCAATGCAATGTAACGTCATCAACAGGTAATAACACTTCGGCCAATAGCAACGCATCAACAAGAAATGCGGGCTACCTGAGTGAACATAAATACAACTTACGAACTAGAAATCACTAGTCATCGGTGAACCATCAAGATGAATAAACCTCTGAAGAAGCCAGCCACTTGTGCTGGCGAAACGTTAGGATACAGTTCCAAACCACGACGGCCTTCAAACCCGAATGAAGATCGTAACTATTATGATGAGAAATTAAATTGTAATAATGACAGCTGTAGTTGACAAAAATGAATAATTAATAAACAATATGCGACACACTCTAGACTGTGTTCCGTCTCATCTCCCCTTTTCAATCTAGGATATACCTAAAATATAGGATATACCTAAAAGGAACGACGATAATGCGTCCACTCCGAGTTGTATGAGGCGGGGGGTCAGCTGGTGGCGGAACAGGCGCTGCAGCTGAAACTAGAGCTGACCAACCGGACTGCAAAGGAGCGTCCCCGGGCGGCGCCTTCTCTTTTACAGGTGCCGGTAAGGTTGAAGGAGAAACGGAGCCTGGGCTCCTGGAGAAGGAGAATTTGTTGGCATAGGATAGGGTTAATGTCCGAAGATGTGGCAGTAGGTTTCAAGTGACATGAGTGTTTCTTTTATAGATAGCTCCATCTTCTGTTTGTACTCTATATGAGCGGTGTCTTTCAGGCCTTATTATTTCTGCTGGAATCCAGTTCTGGGTGACTTTGTCTGAGTAACACCTTTTCGTGACTTGTAAATTTCTTATTTTCCTCCTTTTCTCTGTCAGATTCAGTTTTCTCTAGCTCTTTATTTTTTTTAGCTTTTTAGTGATGTTTCTTACTATTTGAGGAGAAAATAGTTTTTCATTAGTTGGGAGTTCTTCGATTAAACAGTCTTTGAGCAGGACATCCAACATCCAAATGAATGTAACAAGGCCAATTGCATATTAGAATTACCTTCAATGCACTTCTTCATTACATTTTTGGCTTCTTGTACATAACGCTCCGCTAAGCCATTTGAACGAGGAAACTGTGGACTTGAAATTCTGTGTTCAAATTGCCACAATTCTTGAACTCTTGACAGTGGATATTGTTTGCCTCCATCTGACATTTGTGTCAGGGATTCCAAATGTTGCAAACCAAGATTTTAGTTCTTTTATGATGTTAAAGCTTGTAATACTTGTCAACTCCTTGAAATAAAAAAATCCTGAGTAACTGTCTGCTATCAATATATAGTATTTTAGTTTAAGATGAAACAAATCAGTGGCTACAATATTCCATGGTCGTTCAGGTGTACTTTGTATCATGATAGGTTCCATTGGGTTGTCTTTTTGTATCTTAGCACAAGTATAACAGTTTTTAATGTAGTTGGTCAATTCAGTTATCATTTCAGGCAAAAATACATTATCTCTGGCTAATCTTAGTGTTCCTTGTATTCCTTTATGGCTTAAATGGCATTGGTTCATCACTAGGAGTACCATAGTTTTTGGTACAAGTACTCTGTTGTTTTTGAATATGATGTCATTGTACACGATGAGTAATTCTCGATAGTACCAATATATCTTGAAGATCTCTGGGACTTGATCTGATTTTTCTGGCCATCATCTTCTTCAAATCGGTAAGTTCTTTACTTTCATTTGTTTCCATTTTCAGCTCTTCTCTCCGAGTCTTGGTAAATTGTTCTATGACACAAATTTGAAGGTCTCCTGTATTTAAGTCTTCGCAACTCAGTTCTTCACAATCTCTACTAAGAGAATCTGCGACATACATCTGTGATTCTTTTTGGTATAAAACTTCTGGATTGTATGGTGAAATCTTGTATAGCATTCTCTGCAATCTAAGTGGTGCATCTGTCAAGAGGTTTTTTGAATATTGTTTCAAGTGACTTATGATCTAATTCTATAGTCAAGTCTTTACAGCCCCATATGTATGTATGAAATTTCTTGCATGCTACANGCCCTTTCTCATATAGAGTGAGGAATGTTTCGGGCAGGACATATTGGCAGTTTTGGATTATCAATCAAGTCAATGTTATATTTGAACTATTTCAGACAGCCGATTCCTTCAAATAAGCTATCTGTTTGTGATTCAATTTCTGCTACCCACCTCACTAAGTTTAGTTTTACACACGTTGACTTACCCAAGATTGTATGTATTTTATTAGTATACATTGCATTTTAATTTTTGTCTTTAAGGTAACGTCTCCTACAACTGGCATCTAATGAATGGAGAATGAGGTCAAATATCTTGGGGTTGACTGCCTTATATATGAGTTAGTTAGACTTTGGCTTATTACACTACACTGGCTTCCCGAATCTAGTTTAAATTTTACTACTACATTGTTTGGCAGTGTAACTTCTTCATAACAGTCATTGATATCGACGTCTGTATTCACTAATGATACCACAAAACTGTGTTCGCTTTCATTTGATTCATAAGACTGGAGAACAGCATTTACTTCTATATTTTTACAGCACTGAGTAAAATTATTTCTTTTTTAACAGCTTTTGCAAATCTTCTTGCATGCCGAGCATTCTTTTCTGCCATGCTTTGTATCACAGCGACCGCAATGAAAATTATCATCTACTTTTTTCTTACTCTTGTTATGGGTAATTGCATCGATATTAACAATCTTTTTCATTGAACTTACTTGCATCTTGACTCGTTCCGCTGAGTGGCAAATATCTATAGCCTTTTGCAGGGTGCGTTCACGCTCAGCGGGCATCTTTTCTCTAACAGTCAGTTTGGATTCCCATTATAATTCTATCTCTAATAAGACTTTCTTTCAGCGTATCATAACCACAATTTTTTGCTCTGCTACTCAAGTCTGTGATGAACTCGTCAAATAACTGTCCTTTTTTTGAACAAGGTTGAATATATACCTTTCATACGTCTCGTTGCTTCTGGGCGTGAAATGATTCATAAAACGTTCTTTCACTATGTCCAATTGATTCATCTCCGTCAGACCAAGGTCAAAAGTGTTATAAATGACCTTAGCCGAGGCTAAGGACAACGTTGGTGTCGAGACACCAATGTATGATGTTGGATATGATTGTGAATTGTTGATATTTATGGCGGTTGTTTTGTCGGCTGTCATCGACAATTCAGAGTGATGAATGAAAATAGAGAAGGATGAACTGTGTATCGGAGAGATTCAAAGAGCGTGGTTGAATTATAAAAATAACTCACAGGATTGCTTTCCAATTAATAAATGAAAGACGTAAAATTTCACTTACATGTCATCCTCCGATGTTTCAGAATAAGACACTTGTGTTATTGATTGCCTGTTCAGCACCAATGTGGATAACATTACAAGATGAAGCACTCCATTCATAAAATCACGGCTTTATGTCACGAATGAGTTAAATCTACTCATGTCATCGATGACAGTACGTTATGACTAGTTTCGAGAGGGCTTTTTCTTCCACTTTATGACTGAAAGTCACTTCTTTGAATAATCTACACATCTTTGTAGAGTTTATTTCGAAATTAATCGCATTCTTCCCTTCTTTGGAATATTCCCACACTTTTCTGTATATTGAGAAGTAGAAAGCCATAATCTTTCTTTCTCAAAAATTAATCTCTGCTAGAAATATACCCCGTTCAATTTAAAAACTTCTATGGCTGGGAAAAAATCAATTACGTGAATGTCATTACGTATGTCATCGATGACATGAGTAGTTTTTCCTCATTCATAACATAAAATCGTAGTTGTATGAATTAATTGAGTGCTTCATCTTGTAATTTTGTCCAGATTGATAATGAAGAGGCAAGTGACTCATTCCGAAACATCAATGTCCGCCATTGACGATGACAGTTTAAAAATCTGTTTAAATTGAGTGCTTCATCTTGTAATTTTGTCCAGATTGATAATGAAGAGGCAATTGACTCATTCCGAAACATCAATGTCCGCCATTGAGGATGACAGTGTTCTATGTAAGTGAAATTGTACGTTTTCCATATACTATATTGTGTAACAATCCTGTGAATGATA